GTTTAATTCGACCGGTAATTCAAAAAATTGCTCGCGCAGCTCCAATCTGGGTTTTCAACTTTTACCCGCCTTGAAATTTCAATATAATTAATTTCCGGGTGCTCTCTACCTCGTTTACCATCGAGAAAAATTTTAGGTTTCTACACAGAGAGGAAGCGCCGACGTCCGGTATGAAGATGCGTTCACTGAGAAGGGTGATTCTTCTTCTAAGCTGGTTTTAGCATTAGAGACTAATGATAGTCTAGGCGAGATGCAAGCACCATGACCAGAGAAACGATAATTTTTACGCTCTCTCTCTCTCTCTCTTCATCTCTCAAACATCTTGGTCTCTCAACTTCAATCCTAAGCTCAAAACAAGAGCTGCCAGTGCTTCGTCGTTGAATCTTGGGCTGAAAAGTGGTAAATTTACACATCATGAAATACAGTGTTGATTGAAATTATCCTCGAAATTGAAAATTTTTCTCAAATTGGGTTGACTTTAGACAGAAATGATGATGACTAAACTTGATTGGAATTTAAGTAGAATTTATATGGTGCAATTTATTGTGCAAAATTTGGGTCCAAAGTTTAACCCCAAAAACGACTATGTTGCGCTTTCTTTAGTTTATCAAAAATTACGCCAAAACTATTGCTTCAATTGCTGTTAAAATTATATCAAAGTAAGCCACTTATAGCCCAACAACATTTAAGAACGTTATTATCTCCAAAAATTGGCGCAAAACGTCTCAATTTAATTTAAGTTTAAAAAATTTATATTTTATATAAATACGCTTGCAATACGCAATCATTATCAAGCTGGATTATATATTTTTTCAAGTTCACAATTAGTTAAACAGAATCACATGAATCATTTGATAGCTTGCCTTATTAATGAAGGTAATTTTCATGAAAATGTTGGTACAGTAGTGTGGTGGTAAGGAGCGAGGATATGTCGCGAAAGATCAAGCTTTCGAATCCGAGACTATGCCAGTTTTTCTAATGCGATGAACGTAGTTTTGACTTTTATTAACGTCGCAATTTTTTATATTTTGATTATTTTTTTAATTTTTTTTGGTGAAAATTGATCGAATCCTAATTTTGAAAATGGAATTTAATTATCAGATTTCCCAGCGAAAAAAACCTTTACCAAATGGTCCAGTTGACTCAAATTGGATTTTTTTATCAAGAAAGGGCTAATGATAAATTATTTTTGAATTTCAAAGAGTTTTAAGAAGAAAAAAATTGCGTGAGTGGCAAGATTTGTCAACATAATGAAAACTAAAATTTCTGTTTCAATTTTCTGTTTTTTTTTCCTGAAAATCTACCAAAGCTATCTTAAAGAGCAGTCGGAAATTTTAAGAGTCGATGAACTTAGCTAGGACTCTTATGAAGACTTACATAAGAGTCCTAGCTAAGTTCATCGACTCTTAAAATTTCCGACTGCTCTTTAAGATAGCTTTGGTAGATTTTCAGGAAAAAAAAACAGAAAATTGAAACAGAAATTTTAGTTTTCATTATGTTGACAAATCTTGATTTTTTGAGTGTTTTTTTTTCAAGAAAAACTCTTAATTTCTCTTAAATACAGATGTGCATTCATGCATATTAACGCATTTATGAATGCCCTGAGGTATATGTGCACTTTTTGAGTTCAATTTAAATTAATCTGCTGAAAATGAGGTAAAATTGCACTCTGCAAATACGAAAGTATAAAAGGTCACGAAAAACGGGATGGACTTCTAGTTTCGAAAGTAGAATTTAATTTCCAAATTTCCCAGTTGAATATAATTTGAACTTGTGAATCCAGTTTTCCCAAAATGAGTTAGTTTTATCTAAAAAGTCTCAATAATGAATTCGTCTTGAAATTCGAAGAAGATTGAGCTCAATAATTTTATACTTAGAAATTCGAACGATGAAGTTTTTCAACAAGTTTATTATTGTTCACTTGCATTCATTGACTCTTTTTCAACTGTCTGTTAGCTATCTTCAGGGTTTTCTCCATTACAAACGCATGTGAAATTCAGTTTGGTTTTTGATAGAAACTAATTAATACTTTTGAATCATTTACACTTGCGAGAGCAAGTTTTTTGTAACCGGGAACTAGACTTTTTTCCCGTAAAACACCTTTTTATACAAGTCTTACTTGCTTTTCTTTCGTGCTTTTTTATTACGCAAGTAAAGCATGTGTGTTAGTTAGAACTCTTTTTTCCAACCTAAAACGCAGAAAATGTTGCGACGCAAATATTCTTGCGACAAAATGTGTTCATTTTAAAGGTGTTCCTTTTGATCAATAACCAGCTATTAAGTGCAGCCAATGCTAAGGATATTAGACTATTATAGTACGAATAGCACTTAAGCTTCAAGGTTTCATGGATTTGTAGCGTAGAGGTAGGGAAGGAGATCCGCAACAAATTAAAAGGGTTCGAACCTGGGCAGGGTCGGATGTTTTTAATGAACTTTTTCGTAATCTCGCTAAAATGCGTCCGCTCTTTAAATTGAGGCATGTTAGCTCGTAATTTTTTTTTGTTTTTCAAATTGACTTGTACTGTATGCGTCATAATTGGCTTGCGTCTTTTAGTAATTATGTAGACTCATAATTGGCGTGCGTCACTTAAGAAGTTTCGTAGACTCTAAGTTTTACTCATTCAGTGTTTCCCAGTTTGTTCCCAATTGACCTAGAGGTATATTGCTTGCCTTTGCACCCTTAGGTCTAGGGCACGAGTCCCGGCCGGACCTTGTTTTTTCAGTATGTATGAAATAAATTGTTTTCTGGTATAAATTGAATTGTCGGACTTTTGTCTGTTGATCAATTTTTGTCTGCGAAGTTGCCGCATCACGGTTTTTTCTTGTGCTCTAAGCAGTTTTTAAGAGTAATGAACGTATTGAAGACTCTTATGCAGGTCTTGGTGAGTTTTATGTTTTCAGGAAAAAGTCTAAAAAATTGTTCAAGTTTAATTTTGGTATTTTGTTGTTTGACTGGTGATTTTTTTTTTCAAGTTCAGTGCATTTCCACTGATAACAGGAAGGAAAACTCCATTATCTAACAGATAAAGCGTAAAGATCACGAAAAATGTGATCGAATTCTAGTTTCGAAAGTGGAATTGAATTATCAAATTTGTCAGCGAAATAATGTCTTTATCTAATGATCCAGTTTTCTCAAATTGGGATATTTTCATGAAAAAATTGTCAATTATAATTTGTTCTAGAAATTCAGAGGCTTAAGGTCATCTGTTTTTGTTTCTTTAAATCGAAGTGAACTATTTTCAAAAACAGGTCAGCTTTCTTTGCGTTCATTTCTCTTTTCCAACTGTCAGTTGGCTGTGTTCATTATAGTTGCAAGTGTTGTTGATTGTGATTTTAGGGGACAAAATCCTTTTTTTTCGGATCAACCGGTGTCTGCTCAAAAATTGTCGGCTTTGTTTCCGCTTCGTCATTTTTGTTCCGTTGCTAATTTAAAATTCAAATGTTTTGCCTAGATTGAAATTTCATCGAGACATACGAAAATTTTTAAGAAGACCTAGTTTTTTCAACATTTTTTTATTCTTGTACTTCTATTGCTTTTTTATGTTTGTGTTGTATCGCAAGTGATGCGAAGCTCCGCTTCGCCTCTGTGTAAAATAGAAAATAGACATTTCTTGGCTATGAAAGGAAAGTAAGTTAGATTATAGAAAACTGAGACGCATACCCTTCTTAAATGTTATTGGTTATAGAAGAGGCTCACTTTGATATAATTTTGTCAGCAATTGGAGAAATAGTTTCGGCGTAATTTTTGGTCAACAAAAAAGCCAAAATGGTCATTTTTGGTGTTAAAATTTGGACCCTAATTTCCCAAGTAGGTGAGAGAAAAAATAAATTGGCGAGCAAATTTATGGAAGCGTTTTCTCGAAATATGTTGTTTATTTATAATTTAACGCCATGGAAAGTGAATTAAATAGATCTCGAATATTGGACGCCATTGACAATTTTTGCTGCGTTGCGTTGTCAACCCTAAATTTGATTGAATCACTCTAAGGCCGTGCTATTGCCGTTGCGGGGCGTGATATGAAATGCTTCACAGAGTTACTATGCAATAAATCTTGATGAATTTGCTTCACGGCGAATATTTGCTGAATTTAAATTTTGATTTTGCGCCTGCGATGAATTGTGATGTTGAAAGAAGCACGTGAGGATTGATTGTTGTATCAATCGGATTGTTGAATCAAATTGGTGGGTTTTTGTTTTCACGAAAAAGCCTTAAAATTTTATTTTGATTTTTCACGGTTTGACTGGTAATTTCTTTTCAACTTTAGTGCATTTCCAGTGTAAAAAAAAGGAAGGTTAACCCCCTCGAATAATTTCCAGCAGCATTTGATCGATAGGTTCAATTTTTAAAAATTTTTATAGGTTATACATATCTAATCTATTCCCATTTTTGAATTGAATTTTTGAAATTAAGTTGAAAACGCGATATTTCATTTAAAGATTTTTTGGTCAATTTCCAAGGGCAGGAAATTTAGGGTTTTCAAATTATTATGCAGTTGCAAGCTCTATATCGTTTCCGTTTTTTGGAAAGAGGTTTTAGTTTCTGAAGATTTTAGTTTCTAAACCGTTTTTAGTTTCTAAAGAGGTTTTTTTTACATTTGCCAGCAGCAAGAAAAAAACTTTTTTCTGAAATTAAAAAACAGTGAATTCTTATCACCAGAAACTCAAGCATAAAGAGTTTTTTTAATCAAAGAGCTTCATGGTGATATATTTTTTAAAATCTGAAACTCTTACATTTGAAATCGCTCATTTTTTTTTGTCTCAAGGAGAGCATTGACGCTTTTCAAGAGATCTGATGAATCATCATAAAGTTGTTTTCAGCATTTGCACGGTCAATCGCTCAGTCACTGTTTTTAAAAAGCCAAATCAAAACCAAAAAAAAATCTTCCAAAATTTTTTTGTTTTTGTTCGTACGTTTTGTTTGCAACTCTGTTCAGAGCGGTCCGCACTGTATTTCGCTACTCATGTTCACCTAACATCACTGTCATATATCTTACAGAGTACCGTATGTTTTGTGCATCTACCATGCATAGATGCAGCTGTGCACTGAGCAAGGCGAGGATGCCCAGAATGCTGAGACGACGGAGTATATCAGTGCAAAGCAGTAAAATGTTGGCCAAAAACAACCCCTCTTTAGTGCCCTATGATACACACAACCTCCACAAGGCACTGGTGGGTGCTGGCTTTTCAGAGGAACAGGCAGAAGTAATGAACAATCAGTTAAAATCAGTTGTGAGTTAAGTTTCTCTAATTTTTTTTTGCCCCATTTTTTTGTAATGCAACATTTCGCGCCTCAAACATGTCACCCTTCAATCAATACAGGTCTATTCAATTTTGTCGCTAAAATTTGAATGGGCGTAGAGCGTCCGATATCTAGTTCTTTCTGTAATACAGATTGTTCTATGAAATCAGACAGGTTAAGAGAATTTTAATCTGTTAATAGAATTTGAATCTATTAACAGATTATTAACATAGCTTTTCGCTATCGCCGGCTTTTGAGATTTTTTTTGGAATGTTTTTTGAAAGTGAAATGATTATGCGGCAGTTTATAATAGTGGCTTTAAATTAGATTAATCGGTCGTTTATGTGCTGCGAAAGCAGAAGGTGTAAATTGTTCGTTCTCTAAATTCATTTCATCCTTTCTTCGCTAAATGAGTCAGAACAGCAAAAACTTTGATTTTTTTGGAATCCGAATCACGGCTGAAGGGGTTTTCAATGACATCAGACTAGAAGACTTGCGAGTGTTTGTTGAGATACCATATTTTATATATATATATATATATATATATAAAACACCCGTCCCATAGTTAAAAGGAAAGATATGACAAAGAAATGAAAATTAGCCAGCAAAGTTGGGCACCATATTTTAAGTTAGAATAACTTCACTCTATGCTATGTATGGTTTCCGCTAAAGTTTTTGCTCAATTTTTGATCAAATTTATCGAGCCGATTACCAAAGAGTACCATAATAGTTCTTGTATTTTTAGCTTTCTTTTATTCTCTTGAAAAAAAAAACACTATTTGAGAAGAGCGTCTTTAAAGTTTCCATTTTGCCCGGATAATTTAGCACTGCAGATATACATTTTCGTGCTATTCGTGCATCAATTATTTGTCATTCCTGATAGCAATTGGAGAAATGATTTTTAGTATTTTTCCTTTGCCCTTCTCAGCCACATATATGTGAGGGTCAGTGTGATTGAATTGCAGGTGGTAAGCAGTACAGTGAACTACGAGGAGCACTTCTCACAGCTGGACTCTCTGGCTGAGGATTTGACTCGGAAGGTGGCGAGGATAGAGCAGCTGGAAAAGGAAGTGGCTCTGCTGGAGAAGGGCACTGTGCAGGTGCTGAGGTCGGAGAACCAGAAACTCACAACCGACATCAACGCATTCCACTCCATACTCAAGGAAGACTTACAGAAAGTAAATAGAACAACCTTTTCACAACATGGTCTCAATTAAGGTCAAGATGTTTGTTTTACTCGCACGTTTCGTTGCTATCGGCTCTTAAAATCAGGGAAAATAGCTATTTGCTCAACTTTTGAAAAATAGCGCGTTCAACCTTTAAAGCAATAAGATTACAGAAAGATGATCGGAGATAAACAACTCTTACTTTTTGGCAACGGAAAATTGCGTGCTATAGTACTACGCCAAGGCTTCGTACCATGACATGCTTAGAGTGTTGTTGTAAGGCTCCTAGCACCAGCAAATGCATTTGAAGTTGTTCGATGTCCAATCTCCTTGCTCTTAAACCCATGGTTTTTTTTTTTAATAGTTTTTTTTTTTCACGCAAAATCAGGTACAACAAATAATTATCGGAATGGGGCGACTTTTAAATATTTTGGAAACATTTTCACAGGATCGAGAAAAACCCATTTGAAAAACCGTTTGAAATTTTTGATTTTGAATCAACCTTGAAGTTAAATGTTTTTTTTTCAGCAAAGTTATTTAGCGCCAATTTTGAAATGAAAAATTTCTAACTATTTTACTTTGACTGCCGAATATTCCTGAATTGCAGGTTTCCGTCATATCTCTTCATCACACCACGCTCAAAAAAAACAACTTGAAAAAAGCATACGAAAAAACTTTTTATGTATTTTCTTAAGAAAATGGCGGGAGCCTTCTGTAATACTGCAACCGGCCCTCCTGGTCTTTTATATGTATTTTTGTTCTTTTTGGGGTTATGGGTTTACTAATCCGGAGACGAACTTTAGATCGAAATGTCGTTTCATATGGACTTAAGTCAGTTCCTCATCTCACATTTTTCTTGTTTTTGTACGTTTTTCTGGAAATAAATAATTCTGTTGGTAATGTTTTATAGCGCTGAAAGGATTTAGGGAGTAGAGTAACTTTCTTCTTCTCGATTTGAATTACTTCAAGAAAATTTTATGGGTGGGTCTTTTTCAAGGTTTGTGTTTTTTTGTTTAATAAAACTGTTTAAGTAAGTGTTTTTGACGAAGTTTTTTTATACCATCTGAAATATGTTACTGTCCTGAGTTCAAATTTAGAAGAATTTTCTAAACAATAGTTTTTTTTTCAATAAAAAATATGGGATATCGAAAACTTAGAATAATTAACGCGCTGTAGTTTTGGATCTTATAGCAAGCCAACTACTACTAATGCGTTTATTGTCCGTTTTCCCTTTGCGGCGGGGTTTGGCATTCGAAAAGTGCGTAAACAATGGTACATCTTGTACATAGCTTGACCAAATCCAGCTTTAAGGTGAGGGTATTCTAAATAGCATTCAAGCTTTTTAATTGAATATAATACGCGTTTTTCCATGCCATTCGATCAAGGCAGTCTGTGGGTTTGACGCTTAAAGTCTTCGGGTATTCTTTATTACAATCGATCCAGGGTTTTAGGTTTTCCTGCTGGTCTTTTCACTGGTCTGTTGATTTAAGCATAAGTGTTTCCTGTAATCCTACAGAGAGGTTTTGATATCAGCAATTTTAAAAGAGCTGGATATTGCTTTGGTCTACAAGGTAGTATCACAAGGGCATCTGCGTATAATATATCCCGTGGAACGACAGTTTCTCGTAGGCTCTTCCATTACTATTATAAATAACAATGGACTAAGTGCTGATCTTTGATGCACTCTTTTCGATGTAATTTCTGCCACCCTGGGCAGGCGAATTTCGGTTTTCGACTCACGGTACAGACACAGTATCAGTCGTACCAAAATTTGGGAACTCTGTTGTCTCAGAGCCTATAAAATTACTTCCCTGGGAAGAATGTCGAAATTTTTTTCGATATTTTGTAATGCATGTTTCAGTGTTCGGATGCCTCTGTAGTATCATGATTCCAACGAATCGCGTTTTCTGTTTATAAAATGGAACAGTTTGATTTCGCTCCAATCAGAAGGGATTAAACCAGACTCCCAGACTTCCTTAAAGGCTTCAAAAAGTCCAGCAAGTTCATATTCCTAGGCAAATTTAATCATATCCCAAGTTAGCGCTGTTGGTCCGGGGCTTTTGTACTTTTCATTTCTCTGAGTGCCAGCGCCCCTTGCTGGATAGTGAATTCCTCCAATGGGACAGCCACTGGGGATAGTTTCCGTTTCAAACGGTCTTGTCTCATTTAAAAGATTTTAGTAGTAGCTTTGCCACTGCGAGAGAAGATCATGGTTACAATTCAGGAGTTTACTTATTTTATGAACATTGCTGCAAGCGCATCATTTTGATCATTTTAAATTTGCTTCGTGAGGCGGAACATTTCGAGTCGTCTCTCCGTTTTTGAGAGCTCTTGACACCATTTTTGGCTTGATTCTTTTTTAAGCTTCAGCTACCTACTACATATTTCACGACTGTGTTCGTCTCCAATATATCACCCGGTCTTTTTTATTATTCCCAGACTTTTCCCACTTTTGAGCAAAGTTTTTTTCTTTTTAGATTCTTTTCCTATTTTATGGGGCACCACCATTTTTTCTTTTTCTCGCCTGTTTTTTTGGTTGTGTCGGCACTTACGTTTTTGCTTCTTCTAGATGGATTGCTTTGAAATTTTCCCAGTTTGCCTGTATTAGATTTTTCTCTTGCTTCTTTCTTATTGATTATTCGTTGTTGATTGAGTTTTCTCTTTCATCTAGTATCCACGATTTTTTATTCTTCTAATTGGTTTTGACTTTCGGTGGTAAACGGGAACTTCAAGATAAACAAGTCTGTGTTGAGTACCACATTCTTTGCCCTTGATAGTCTTCAAAGTTTTGACTCATCTTCTCTGCGACACGTGTTAGAATGTAATCAATCTGGATGGAATTTTCTCCACTCTTAAACGTACAGTAACTGTTATCGAAACGTATTTCAAAGAAAATGTTAAGGTTGGCTAGATTTTGTGAATGGGCCGACCCTGCAGTCAAATTCCTGGCACCGCTCTACAATATTCCCATTCAAATCACCACACAGGAAAGTGTATTATTGGTCAGGTAGAGAGACCATAGTATTTTTAGTGGTAATAAAAATCATCTTTTTTCGAAACCTCCCTACCAGCTTGTGCGTACACACATACAACATCACTGTTTTTAAAAAGCCAAATCAAAACCAAAAAAAAATCTTCCAAAATTTTTTTGTTTTTGTTCGTACGTTTTGTTTGCAACTCTGTTCAGAGCGGTCCGCACTGTATTTCGCTACTCATGTTCACCTAACATCACTGTCATATATCTTACAGAGTACCGTATGTTTTGTGCATCTACCATGCATAGATGCAGCTGTGCACTGAGCAAGGCGAGGATGCCCAGAATGCTGAGACGACGGAGTATATCAGTGCAAAGCAGTAAAATGTTGGCCAAAAACAACCCCTCTTTAGTGCCCTATGATACACACAACCTCCACAAGGCACTGGTGGGTGCTGGATTTTCAGAGGAACAGGCAGAAGTAATGAACAATCAGTTAAAATCAGTTGTGAGTTAAGTTTCTCTAATTTTTTTTTGCCCCATTTTTTTGTAATGCAACATTTCGCGCCTCAAACATGTCACCCTTCAATCAATACAGGTCTATTCAATTTTGTCGCTAAAATTTGAATGGGCGTAGAGCGTCCGATATCTAGTTCTTTCTGTAATACAGATTGTTCTATGATATCAGACAGGTTAAGAGAATTTTAATCTGTTAATAGAATTTGAATCTATTAACAGATTATTAACATAGCTTTTCGCTATCGCCGGCTTTTGAGATTTTTTTTGGAATGTTTTTTGAAAGTGAAATGATTATGCGGCAGTTTATAATAGTGGCTTTAAATTAGATTAATCGGTCGTTTATGTGCTGCGAAAGCAGAAGGTGTAAATTGTTCGTTCTCTAAATTCATTTCATCCTTTCTTCGCTAAATGAGTCAGAACAGCAAAAACTTTGATTTTTTTGGAATCCGAATCACGGCTGAAGGGGTTTTCAATGACATCAGACTAGAAGACTTGCGAGTGTTTGTTGAGATACCATATTTTATATATATATATATAAAACACCCGTCCCATAGTTAAAAGGAAAGATATGGCAAAGAAATGAAAATTAGCCAGCAAAGTTGGGCACCATATTTTAAGTTAGAATAACTTCACTCTATGCTATGTATGGTTTCCGCTAAAGTTTTTGCTCAATTTTTGATCAAATTTATCGAGCCGATTACCAAAGAGTACCATAATAGTTCTTGTATTTTTAGCTTTCTTTTATTCTCTTGAAAAAAAAACACTATTTGAGAAGAGCGTCTTTAAAGTTTCCATTTTGCCCGGATAATTTAGCACTGCAGATATACATTTTCGTGCTATTCGTGCATCAATTATTTGTCATTCCTGATAGCAATTGGAGAAATGATTTTTAGTATTTTTCCTTTGCCCTTCTCAGCCACATATATGTGAGGGTCAGTGTGATTGAATTGCAGGTGGTAAGCAGTACAGTGAACTACGAGGAGCACTTCTCACAGCTGGACTCTCTGGCTGAGGATTTGACTCGGAAGGTGGCGAGGATAGAGCAGCTGGAAAAGGAAGTGGCTCTGCTGGAGAAGGGCACTGTGCAGGTGCTGAGGTCGGAGAACCAGAAACTCACAACCGACATCAACGCATTCCACTCCATACTCAAGGAAGACTTACAGAAAGTAAATAGAACAACCTTTTCACAACATGGTCTCAATTAAGGTCAAGATGTTTGTTTTACTCGCACGTTTCGTTGCTATCGGCTCTTAAAATCAGGGAAAATAGCTATTTGCTCAACTTTTGAAAAATAGCGCGTTCAACCTTTAAAGCAATAAGATTACAGAAAGATGATCGGAGATAAACAACTCTTACTTTTTGGCAACGGAAAATTGCGTGCTATAGTACTACGCCAAGGCTTCGTACCATGACATGCTTAGAGTGTTGTTGTAAGGCTCCTAGCACCAGCAAATGCATTTGAAGTTGTTCGATGTCCAATCTCCTTGCTCTTAAACCCATGGTTTTTTTTTTTTTTATAGTTTTTTTTTTTCACGCAAAATCAGGTACAACAAATAATTATCGGAATGGGGCGACTTTTAAATATTTTGGAAACATTTTCACAGGATCGAGAAAAACCCATTTGAAAAACCGTTTGAAATTTTTGATTTTGAATCAACCTTGAAGTTAAATGTTTTTTTTTCAGCAAAGTTATTTAGCGCCAATTTTGAAATGAAAAATTTCTAACTATTTTACTTTGACTGCCGAATATTCCTGAATTGCAGGTTTCCGTCATATCTCTTCATCACACCACGCTCAAAAAAAACAACTTGAAAAAAGCATACGAAAAAACTTTTTATGTATTTTCTTAAGAAAATGGCGGGAGCCTTCTGTAATACTGCAACCGGCCCTCCTTGTCTTTTATATGTATTTTTGTTCTTTTTGGGGTTATGGGTTTACTAATCCGGAGACGAACTTTAGATCGAAATGTCGTTTCATATGGACTTAAGTCAGTTCCTCATCTCACATTTTTCTTGTTTTTGTACGTTTTTCTGGAAATAAATAATTCTGTTGGTAATGTTTTATAGCGCTGAAAGGATTTAGGGAGTAGAGTAACTTTCTTCTTCTCGATTTGAATTACTTCAAGAAAATTTTATGGGTGGGTCTTTTTCAAGGTTTGTGTTTTTTTGTTTAATAAAACTGTTTAAGTAAGTGTTTTTGACGAAGTTTTTTTATACCATCTGAAATATGTTACTGTCCTGAGTTCAAATTTAGAAGAATTTTCTAAACAATAGTTTTTTTTTCAATAAAAAATATGGGATATCGAAAACTTAGAATAATTAACGCGCTGTAGTTTTGGATCTTATAGCAAGCCAACTACTACTAATGCGTTTATTGTCCGTTTTCCCTTTGCGGCGGGGTTTGGCATTCGAAAAGTGCGTAAACAATGGTACATCTTGTACATAGCTTGACCAAATCCAGCTTTAAGGTGAGGGTATTCTAAATAGCATTCAAGCTTTTTAATTGAATATAATACGCGTTTTTCCATGCCATTCGATCAAGGCAGTCTGTGGGTTTGACGCTTAAAGTCTTCGGGTATTCTTTATTACAATCGATCCAGGGTTTTAGGTTTTCCTGCTGGTCTTTTCACTGGTCTGTTGATTTAAGCGGATGGTCATTTTCTCTTCGTTGGACAGCCGAACCATCGTAACCTTGACTGCAATTTTAGCTTGTCCGGATCTATAGGACCTGTCATTTAAATTTCTGCTTCGCTCGTAACTCTGTCTTCATAAGTGTTTCCTGTAATCCTACAGAGAGGTTTTGATATCAGCAATTTTAAAAGAGCTGGATATTGCTTTGGTCTACCAGGTAGTATCACAAGGGCATCTGCGTATAATATATCCCGTGGAAGACAGTTTCTCGTAGGCTCTTCCATTACTATTATAAATAACAATGGACTAAGTGCTGATCTTTGATGCACTCTTTTCGATGTAATTTCTGCCACCCTGGGCAGGCGAATTTCGGTTTTCGACTCACGGTACAGACACAGTATCAGTCGTACCAAAATTTGGGAACTCTGTTGTCTCAGAGCCTATAAAATTACTTCCCTGGGAAGAATGTCGAATTTTTTTTCGATATTTTGTAATGCATGTTTCAGTGTTCGGATGCCTCTGTAGTACCATGATTCCAACGAATCGCGTTTTCTGTTTATAAAATGGAACAGTTTGATTTCGCTCCAATCAGAAGGGATTAAACCAGACTCCCAGACTTCCTTAAAGGCTTCAAAAAGTCCAGCAAGTTCATATTCCTAGGCAAATTTAATCATATCCCAAGTTAGCGCTGTTGGTCCGGGGCTTTTGTACTTTTCATTTCTCTGAGTGCCAGCGCCCCTTGCTGGATAGTGAATTCCTCCAATGGGACAGCCACTGGGGATAGTTTCCGTTTCAAACGGTCTTGTCTCATTTAAAAGATTTTAGTAGTAGCTTTGCCACTGCGAGAGAAGATCATGGTTACAATTCAGGAGTTTACTTATTTTATGAACATTGCTGCAAGCGCATCATTTTGATCATTTTAAATTTGCTTCGTGAGGCGGAACATTTCGAGTCGTCTCTCCGTTTTTGAGAGCTCTTGACACCATTTTTGGCTTGATTCTTTTTTAAGCTTCAGCTACCTACTACATATTTCACGACTGTGTTCGTCTCCAATATATCACCCGGTCTTTTTTATTATTCCCAGACTTTTCCCACTTTTGAGCAAAGTTTTTTTCTTTTTAGATTCTTTTCCTATTTTATGGGGCACCACCATTTTTTCTTTTTCTCGCCTGTTTTTTTGGTTGTGTCGGCACTTACGTTTTTGCTTCTTCTAGATGGATTGCTTTGAAATTTTCCCAGTTTGCCTGTATTAGATTTTTCTCTTGCTTCTTTCTTATTGATTATTCGTTGTTGATTGAGTTTTCTCTTTCATCTAGTATCCACGATTTTTTATTCTTCTAATTGGTTTTGACTTTCGGTGGTAAACGGGAACTTCAAGATAAACAAGTCTGTGTTGAGTACCACATTCTTTGCCCTTGATAGTCTTCAAAGTTTTGACTCATCTTCTCTGCGACACGTGTTAGAATGTAATCAATCTGGATGGAATTTTCTCCACTCTTAAACGTACAGTAACTGTTATCGAAACGTATTTCAAAGAAAATGTTAAGGTTGGCTAGATTTTGTGAATGGGCCGACCCTGCAGTCAAATTCCTGGCACCGCTCTACAATATTCCCATTCAAATCACCACACAGGAAAGTGTATTATTGGTCAGGTAGAGAGACCATAGTATTTTTAGTGGTAATAAAAATCATCTTTTTTCGAAACCTCCCTACCAGCTTGTGCGTACACACATACAACATTACACATAGAATGCCTCAATGCAAATTTTAAGTTTACACTAACCATCCCCAATACATTTTTAACAAGTCGACCATTGATGTGTATTGCAACACATTTGGTCCTTCTACATTTTTTTGCCAGAAAAATTTAAACTTCTGGTCGTCATCTCCAAAACTTCTTTGCCGTTTCCTTTGAAGCGAGTTTCTTGAAGACAGCACGGATATTTTTTCTTTCTAGAGGATCGCATACATAGCCATTTTTGTGCAAGTGTGCCAACGTTCCATGAACTTAGTCGGAACGACTTATCTTTTAGGGTGGGTTTCTTCGTCTTATACGCATTAGTATCAACCCTATTAGTAGTTGAAACCGTGAGATTCTTAGCACCCTCTCAACATTTAAGGGGCTCACGTGATTTAGGGCCAGTGCTTGTCTGGCTTTCTTTTAAATGCAGTGTACTTACAGAGCGTTTGCAGACCGAAGTCTTTCCTGACCGGATGCCCTTCCTGACGTTTAATCTTCTCCTTTTCCCGCGCTTCGGACCGGCAGCTTCGTCTTCATAACAAGACAGACCAGGCAGAGACTTTTTACTGTGTAGAAAAAATTTATGGCTCAATTGTTATTTTATAGCTCATTTGATGTCCGTTTAAGTTTTTTTGGCGTAGTTACCACTCAACCTTTTTTTTTGATAGCTGATTTGACGGCCACGATGTTGTCTCATGGCATATTGTCCTCAAAATTAAGATCATTTGCGACAAATTTATGATTTTTTTCGAGTTAAGTTGCCTGCGTTTTGTTATGTTTGCTAATTTACAATGCTATTTCTGTGTCGCAATTCAAATAACACGTCTTCTTAGTTCGTTTGAGGGAATGATTATTTTTTGTCAAATAATTTTATTGAAAAAAGTGTTGATTTTTTTCAGACTCTTGGTTTTCGTCCTCGTTTTCAGTTATCCAATTGCAGTTGATGTGATCTGATACGCTTTCAAACAGTTTCCTTACACAGCATAATTGATTTTGTTCGCACAGATTTAGTTAAATTGAAAACTGATCATTAGATTGTAAATTTACTTACTCAAGTTTGAGTAGTTTCACTTTTTTATTTTTTTTTGTTAACGATTTAATCAGCGTATGTTGCGTACTTTCACGTGCGAGTTTTTAAATGCTTTCGCCTGTTTCAGGAGGGATGGATGCATAAGTTTTTGACTCTAAAAAATTTATAGCTTGAAGTATTTTCAGAGTAAAGTTTCGTTTTCTGGTTACCAGAGTAGAATTAATATTTTTGCATTTATTACCGCTTCTTCTTTGATTAGTAGTTGAAACCGTGAGATTCGTAGCACCCCCTGCCCTTTTAAGGGGCGCATGGGACTAAGCGCCAGTAACTTTTTGACTTTCTATTAATTGTTGGAGCCACTGCTCCAACAATTAATAGAAAGTCAAAAAGTTACTGGCGCTTAGTCCCATGCGCCCCTTAAAAGGGGAGGGGGTGCTACGAATCTCACGGTTTCAACTACTAATCAAAGAAGAAGCGGTAATAAATGCAAAAATATTAATTCTACTCTGGTGACCAGAAAACGAAACTTTACTCTGAAAATACTTCAAGCTATAAATTTTTTAGAGTCCTTTGATCTTATGAACAAATATAGTGTAGATTTAATTACGAACTTCTATCTTTCGTGAGATAAAATTTTTGGATTTTTCTGATAGATAATATATCTAGTTAGTTAACATGTGCTCTTTTCATAATATTTCATTTAATATACAAACAATTTAAATTCTAAATGTTGATGTTTTATTATGAGAATTCAACCGAGCGAGTAAAAATATCTGTAGGTATTTTGGGTGCTTATTCTACGAGTGATCAATGAATGAAAACTAATTTTTTTTGTAATATTTTTTGTAATATATGCAATAATTTTGAATGTACAGCATCTTGACTGTAGATCATCATTCGCAAACACAGGTGGTATATGCAAATTCAGGTTCGATTGCTTGATTGCAGGGGTTGATCTAGAGTTTTCTCGAGGCGGAGGCGGATGATCGAAAATTAGGGCAACATTTTTTTAGGGTCGACCAAATTGATTTTCCGAATTCTCCCAAAGCACTAAAAAGACCCTGCTTTGGCCAAATATTTTTGCGCCGCAGCCAAAATTTTAGAAAAAAAGGAGTTTTGTAGGCACTTTTTCAAAAATTTTAACCAAAAGGTCTAGTTTTTTTGGCGCGCGCTTCCCCCTCAACATAGTGCACTTACAGAGCGTTTGCAGACGGAACGGCAGCTCCGTCTTCATAACAAGACAGACCAGACGCAGAATTTTTACAGTATAGAAAAGTTTTTAGCTCAAAGGTTACTTTGGACCTCAACTGATGTCTGTTCAAGTATTGTCGTCCTAGTTACCACTCGGCAATTGTTTTTAATAGCTGATTTAATGGCCGCGAAGGTGTCTCTTGGCATATTTTCTTCCAAAGTAAGATCATTTGCGACAAATTTATGATTTTTTTTGAGTTTTGTTGCCTCTGTTTTGTTATCTGTCTGCTAAATTACAATGCTATTTTTCTGTCTCAATTCAAATAACACGTCTTTTTAGTTCATTTGAGGAAATGGTTAATTTTTCAAATATATTTATTGAAAAAAGTGTTGATTTTCATTTTTTCAGTTTGCAGTTGATGTGATCTGATACGATTTTCAAACAGTTTCTTTACAAAGCATAATTGATTTTGTTTGCACAGATTTAATTAAATTGACAATTGTTCTGTAGTTTGTGAATTAACCTACTCATTGTTGAATTGTTTTTTATGTTTATTTTTTGGTCAACGATTTAATCAGCGTATGTTGCGTAGTTTCACGTGCGAGGTTTTAAGTGCTATCGCATCGCCTGTTTCAGAAGGGATGGATTCTAAAGTATTTGACTCTAAAAAATTTATCGCTTGAACTTATTTAGGAATACAGTTTCATTTTCTGGTTTCCAGGGTCGAATTAAGTTTTTTGCATTCCTTACCGCTTCGTCTTTGATTAGTAGTTGAAACCGTGAGATTCTTAGCACCCCCTCCACATTTAAGAAGTGCACGGGACTGAGGGCCGGTGCCTGTCTGATTTTCTATTAGTTTTCGGAGAATTGCACCTACAGAGCGCTTGCAGACCGAAGTCTTTACTGACCGGATGCCCTTCCTGACGTCTACTCTCCTCCTTTTCCCGGGCTGCGGACCGTTAGCTTCGTCTTCAAAACAAGACAGACCAGGCGGAGAGTTTTTACTGTGTAGAAAAAGTTTACAGCTCAAATGTTATTTCATAGCTCAACTGATGTCTGTTTGAGTATTTTCGGCGTAGTTACCACTCAACAATTGTTTTTGTAGCTGATATGACGGCTGCGATGGTGTCTCATGGCATATTTTCCTCAAAATTAAGATCATTTGCGACAAACTTACGATTTTTACTGAGTTTAGTTATCTCTGTTTTTTTATGTCTGCTAATTTACAATGCTATTTCTGTGTCGCAATTCAAATAACACGTCTTCTTACTTCATTTGAAGGATTGATTAATTTGTCAATTATAATTTTTGAAAAAAGTGTTGATTTTTTTTCAGACTTCTGGTTTTCGTCCTAATTTTTCATTTATCCGATTGCAGTTGATGTGATCTGATACGCTTTCAAACAGTTTCTTTACACAGCATAATTGATTTTGTTCGCACTGATTCAATTAAATTGACAATTGTTTTGTAGTTTGTGAATTAACCTACTCATTGTTGAATTGTTTTTTATGTTTATTTTTTGGTCAACGATTTAATCAGCGTATGTTGCGTAGTTTCACGTGCGAGGTTTCAAGTGCTATCGCATCGCCTGTTTCAGAAGGGATGGATTCTAAAGTATTTGACTCTAAAAAATTTATCGCTTGAACTTATTTAGGAATACAGTTTCATTTTCTGGTTTCCAGGGTCGAATTAAGTTTTTTGAATTCCTTACCGCTTCGTCTTTGATTAGTAGATGAAACCGTGTGATTCTTAGCACCCCCTCCACATTTAAGAAGTGCACGGGACTGAGGGCCGGTGCCTGTCTGATTTTCTATTAGTTTTCGGAGAATTGCACCTACAGAGCGCTTGCAGACCGAAGTCCTTACTGACCGGATGCCCTTCCTGACGTCTTCTCTCCTCCTTTTCCCGGGCTGCGGACCGTTAGCTTCGTCTTCAAAACAAGACAGACCAGGCGGAGAGTTTTTACTGTGTAGAAAAAGTTTTCAGCTCAAATGTTATTTCATAGCTCAACTGATGTCTGTTTGAGTATTTTCGGCGTAGTTACCACTCAACAATTGTTTTTGTAGCTGATATGACGGCTGCGATGGTGTCTCATGGCATATTTTCCTCAAAATTAAGATCATTTGCGACAAACTTACGATTTTTACTGAGTTTAGTTATCTCTGTTTTTTTATGTCTGCTAATTTACAATGCTATTTCTGTGTCGCAATTCAAATAACACGTCTTCTTAGTTCATTTGAAGGATTGATTAATTTGTCAATTATATTTTTTGAAAAAAGTGTTGATTTTTTTTCAGACTTCTGGTTTTCGTCCTAATTTTTCATTTATCCGATTGCAGTTGATGTGATCTGATACGCTTTCAAACAGTTTCTTTACACAGCATAATTGATTTTGTTCGCACAGATATAGTTAAATTGGCAATTGATCTTTAGTTTGTTAATTTACTTACTCAATTTTGAATAGTTTCCCTTTTTTTGGTTACCAATTAATCGCGTATGTTGTGTAGTTTCAATTGCGAGTTTTTAAATGCTTCGCCTGTTTCAGGAGGGATAGATGCAAAAAATTTTGACTCTAAAAATTTTATAGCTCAAATGGTATTTTATAGCTCAACTAATGTCTTTAAGTATTGTCGGCGTAGTTACCACTCAATAATTGTTTTTGATAGCTGATTTGACGGCCGCGATGGTGTCTCATGGCATATTTTCCTCAAAATTAAGATCATTTTCGACAAATTAATAATTTTTTCGAGTTTAGTTGCCTCCGATTTTTACGTTTGCTAATTTACAATTCTATTTTTGTGTCGCAATTCAAATAACACGTCTTCTTAGTTTATTTCAGGGAATGATTCATTTGTCAAATATATTTATTGAAAAAAGTTTGATTTTTCTCAGACTTCTAGTTTTCGTCCTAATTTTTCTTTTTTCCAATTGCAGTTGATGTGATCTGATACGCTTTTCAAACAGTTTCTTTACGCAGCAAAATTGATTTTGTTCGCACAGATTTAGTTAAATTGACAATTGATCTTTAGTTTGTAAATTTACTTACTCAATTTTGAGTAGATTCACTTTTTTTTCTGGTTAACGATTTAATCAGCGTATGTTGCGTAGTTTAACGTGTGAGTTTTTGAATGCTTTTGCCTGTTTTAGGAGGGATGGGTTCTAAAGTTTCTGACACTAAAAAATTTATAGCTTGAAGTATTTTAAGAGTACAGTTTCATTTTCTGGTTTCCAGGGTCGAATAAAATTTTTTGCATTTATTACCGCTTCGTCTTTGATTCTCAAGCTTGCTTAGGAATTTTATGAACCTCGTGAGAGAAAGGTATGGAGTTTTGCAGATTTAGTCCGTTGACTTTTTTAAAGTAATTGTTGTCAGCTTAGTTTTTCAACGAAATTAAATAGACATATTTTCTATCCAACATCTTGTAATGCAAATTGTAATTGTATCTCAAATGCTTCGAAGCTCCGCTTTGCTTCGCTTTTCGGTTTTTTTTGAATTTGTCTTTTCAATTCTTTCTTTCATCAAGTATTTGTCTAGAATCTATTTAAAATGATTGTTCTTTTGTGGTTTTATTTTTTTTGCACTATTTTGTATCCTATATTTTCGGCCTTAATTATTTTTCTTCAACAGAAAATGTTAGCTACTAAAGTGCGACGAATGACGTTTTTATCCCCGAGAAGACATAAAGTTGTCATGAAATTGGCTGTATTGTGTAAGAGTAAAAGCGAATCTGCAGCTCTGCTGGATCAAAAACTAGTTCTAATTTTTATTTAGTTCATTTTCAGTTGTATAATAATTGAGGACTCCAGTTGCCAACTTAGTTCAGATGACGTTTCAGTTGTATACTAATTGAGGACTCCAGTTGCCAACTTAGTTCAGATGACGTCAAGTTCAAACTGAATTTTTAAGCTTCCACAGAAATTTTGGCTCCATCGAATCTGGAATTGCGATTCAAATCAAGTTATGTTAATATTATTTCTCTTAGTAGTTTCATATCAATTTTGATTTTTGAATCAGCCTGTGGCTGAAAAACTTATCAGTTTTAGTTTGGTCACGCGTGTTGAACTGATACAATGACATGAGGATGCAATTAGTTGTCGGGGAGGTTTTTGTGGAGTTAGCTGAACACAAATGCAAATAATTGATTGTTGGTACATCACGGGACATATTAGTTTTGGGGAGCTGAACAAAAATGCAAATAATTGATTGTTGGTACATCACGGGACATTTAGTTTTCAAGCGAGAAAATGAACAAAAATTTTTCACGTTTGTGCCGTTTTCTCTGTAGCCAACAAAGATTCACGGTTGAAAATTTGGCATATGATAGATGACACTCTTTAGACAATAGCAAGATAAAAAATAGTTTTTAGGGCGCCGTTTGGCCATTTAATAAGAGGGCGACAGAGAAGTGTTCTGAGTGCCAAAAGTTCGCCGTAAAAAAACCACAAGCAGTAAAATGTTAGTTGAAAAGCTAAACATCTCAGCTATGCCCTCATATTAGTTTTTTCTTCCTAAAAGGGAAAATAAAAACCTAGTCAGGTACGTGTATGTACCGGAACCGTAGTAGACCGCATAAGAATTGGCAGAAAAGAAGACAAAAAAAATTTTTCTCTGCAGCTCCCTGATTGCTAGCTAAATTTTTTATCCAACCGTGATTATTTACAATTTCTTTGCGAAATTGTTGGTGATGCGAACCATGTTTTCGAGCGATTTCCATGTCGTTTTTGACATTTTCAAGCCTCAGTTTGATAATCTAATTCTAATGTATCCTGCAGGAAGAAAGCTGAAGTTGACAGCCTGGAGAAAACCTAATATGATTAGGAAATACTTATTCCGTCTGAGGTGTGAAATTTAGTGCATTATTTGTGACAATTTAACGTCCGATAATAAAGCAGCGGTACCAAAAGTTGATTGATCTTTGTTCAACTTTTTCAGGTCTTACTTTTTGAACTAATTTATTTTTCAGCCTGCCCGGACCTATAGTGTAAAGATGCAAAAAGACCACAGGCCCTTCTTATTTCCTGTTCATCAAATGTCTATAGATAAACTCTGTGGTGTAACCAGTTTTTTTGCAGGGTTGTCTTTGATGACGAAATATAGTTCGAGTTATGGGGGTTGGACAATAACAAGTCAAAATGTCAAATACCGTATAGACCAACCAACTCCAAAGAATTAAATCGAGTGAAATATGCTAGGTTCTAGAAGGGAAGGATCAGGTCTACCTTTAATTCTCAAATTAGTAATTTCAGACGGAGCGCAAATAAAATTCAATCTTAAAAATTGTCTAAGAATTTAAATCCAAGAATTGTCGTATCCATCGGCTTAAGCCATTAGCGAAAAAGAACTGAAGAGAACTAAATCTAAGGTCCACTACAAAAAGTTTGCAAAATGTAACGTTGACTCGAGACAAATTGATAGGGTTTTAAATACAATTGAAGGAAAAATCAGAAATAATCAAGCCATTGGCGAATTGTTAGATAACAATGGATGCAAGATTACTTCTGAAGATGATACGAACACTGAACTGATCTTTTTCCGCCAGCATCGGCAAAAACTTAAGTTCCGTTAAACCTCAAACGTTGTTTGATGTATCAATCGAATCAAAAAATTAAATTTGCATTTTGCCTTGTTATGGAGAAGAAATCATTGATAGTATTGATCAGTTGAAAAGAAGGACATCTACGGATTTGATGACATCAGTATTATACAAATCGAGCTTGCATCCAGTAAAATTATTCATGAGCTGATCAGATGTTCAATGAAAAACTGATTTTTTCTAGCCTTTTTAAGCAGCGCTAAAATAATTTTGAGATATGGGACTTTACAATTCTCTGAACAATTCTTTTTCTCTGTTCAATTGTTGGATGACAGTTTTTGATGAAAGGTTGTATGCATGGACCTAACAAAGCTATCATTGAAGTTCCGGTTGTTCCAATTGTGGAATTGGAGAAATCAATTACGATATGGAGAAAAAGTGTCAGTGGTTAAAGGCAAATAAATTAAGTATCAATTTTGAAGAAAAAAACAGTAATTGTGATAAAAACAAACAGAAGCGCTCCTAGCGTTCCAGTTTTTTTGATAATTAGAAAAACGCCAGAAAAAAAACTTGCAAATATTCAAGATTAATGCTGGATTCACAATTTAATTTTCTTCAGCACATCGAATCTGTACATGCAAAAAGTTGCGTCGTTAATGCGGATTTTTTTTTAGAAATTAGGCATTGTTCCTCGGAGGGCGTTTCTGTGTTACTAGGATTCAAAAGGTATGTCTATCATTCAATACTGTGTCCTTATTTATGGCTGTGTAAGCTACAATGCCTTTTTACGCATCCTCAATTTTTAGAAGAAGATAATCCGTGCCATATTTTTATGAAAAATCAAGGAAGAGGCAGGGAAGGAGTCTTATCTGATTATGAGTTGAGTGCTTACACAATATTGAAGTTTTTGTTCCAATCTTTGGGCAAAATGCATACGAGAGATCGTTTACTTAATTTTTTTTTCAATTCATTGTTTATGATTGAATTACCAGATTATCGAAAAAAGGGCTTTTGAAAATACCGTTAGCCAGAGTTAATATCCAAAATGTGTCAAAAACACCCTGGATTTTAAAAAGCCTCCATCCTGCCCTGCGTGTGTTATGGAGGCTATAGAAACATCGCGCAGTTATTAGAAGTGGTAACCGAATAGGTAAACAAGTTGAAGAAACTTGAATAGACCTGGCTTGCGACAAGCGAGTTTCAGAACCAAAAATGTTTTTTAACGTTGTTCTATGAATTTTTTTAATGCTATGACATAATCAAAAGTATACTCGACCGGAATGCTCAGACGACTAGTCATTGAATTGAACTGCTAACCTTAAGAGTTTTAATGCGAGAATATCAAATTTAGGACTGGTTTGAATAATTGTTACCAAACTATTTACAACTCATCAGTTTTTGCATTAATTTTCTTACTTGCGGTTAAATTGAATATTATGTTTGTTCGTGTCGATTTTGCTTAAAGGGCATCCTCCTTAAAGTGTGGAACTCAAGTGGGTTCGTTGGTTGTCATCTTAGAGGTATTTGTTCTTAATAAATACTACTTAATTGTTAATAACCCGCATCTCTTGAGAAATAAAACTTCTTCAAGATTTAGTCTTAAGTTTGGAAGATAAAAACTGCTTTGATTGAAAAATCGTTGATTTAGTGTGAAGACACGTGTGACAACCCGAAAAAAGTGACTTTAAATTTATATTGGATCCTCTCAACAGTTGTTTCCTCTCAAAAGTTGTTTCCTCTCAACAGTTGTTTCCTCCTTTGTTTAGATTCGGAATGACTTGCAGTTGGACTTTAATCTACATAAGAGCTGGACCAAGTCCGCCTTGACGGAACTGGACAAAGAGGTTAGCCGTCTCTCCAACCATATCGAGATCAAAGCAGCTGATCTTGGTGCGCAGCTGGACAGGAACAAGATGGAGAACCTCAAATACCAGACCACACTAATCTTTAGTGCAATAGGAGTCATCATGTCTGTCGCATTCGCTTTTTGGAGGATGTTTGGAAAATGACTTTGAAATATCTTTTCTCTAATTTATTATTTTTATGAATTTACAGTTTTGTTAGAACGTGGATTCAACCTGACAGTCTCTGACAGTGCTAATGAGTGATTTAGTGGTCGCAAGATTTGGATTAGGCAATTTCATTGTGCGGCAAAACTTATAATACAGAGAAAACGTACGAGAGCTTAGAGCTTAGATCATTTGACATTTAACGAATTTTAACTGAACATGGTCGCTGCCTAGTTTTCGATTTAATGCGAGGATCCCATGTCGAGTTCACACAGCCATAATGGTTTCTGCTGCGATCACATGAGAAGTGACTCTTTTGCACAAACATTGGATGAACTAAGTTTTGAAAGAAGTATATGTGGGGCTGCGGCTTCTAATGATTTTGAGAGATTGAAAAAGATCATTGAAAAAAGACAGACGGCTAACAGTAAAAATGAGGATATCGTGAATATTACGGACAGCTACGGATATACAGCTTTGGTAAGTCGGTGTCATCTTGAATCAATGAGTTGGGCGGATCTGGGTTTTTCTCGAAGAGGGTCGAATTTTCAAAAACAAATGTCATAATTTTATTTGGCTGATGCCGGCAGAGGTTAACTTACTATTTACACAAGCAAAGCTTGTGTGATAGTATGGACTCTCTTCTTTCCAACCTATACAGCTTTTTAGGGGACTGAAAATTTTTTCATAAAATCTTTTTTTTCGGCTCAACTGGTGTCTGCTAAGCAGTATCATGAAATAGTTGAAAGCACTATGTCAAATGATGCTAAATTAGTATTTACCGGCAATATTCCGACTTCTGAAGCAACAGAAAAGGATGTCGTTGGTTAGCTGTTTGTTTAAAAGTTTATATGCTATCGCTATTTTTCAATTGTACACTATTTTTGGAATAATTTTCTTCTAAATGATGAAATAGTTATTATTTCATATGTTCTTAACTGGCCATAGCCTAGAGTCAACATCATTGCATGGGAGGAAAGAGGGGGGTTAGTAGATAAAAAATATTTATTTATAGTAGTGTATTCGGTATAAGTAATTTAAAGGAAATGTTGGTCTTGCGGTGATAAGTGTGACTTTCGTGCCGATGGCTGATGTTCGATCCCCATAGTTGCGAGTTTTTTCTTTCTCTCGGATAGCCAAAATATGTTAATAGTAATTATCATTTTTTAGGTGGTTTGAAACCAAATCTCTAATCTCTTGTTAAGTTCCATTGGTAGAATTAGAGCAGATCAGCTGGTCTCGTTATTTACCCTTTCCAAGGGTTTCCTACTTTCAGTATATTGTTATGTCATTTATACTCTTGTTCTTGGATAAATATTTTTTCTTATTTTGCTTCTTGTGTATTCAGTTCACAAACATTGTCTGAATATCTCGAGGCAAGTACTGCAAACTAAATATAATAAAAATAAATAAATTTGTTGTCAAGAAGACAACAATTTGTTTATTTTTTACAATGTTTTTCTACATTGTTTTTCGCGGTATCATTCGTCGCTCTGTGTTAAGTTTCAGTTTGCGGGTTCAATATTTGTGTCATAATTTTTGAGAGTTCGCTGACGGCGTACATTTAACGTCTGAGATTTTTCTAGACAAAGCTAGATTGTTCTATCAGCAGTTGGACTGTAATTTCCTAATTAGTCATTGTCGAGTTTTTTTTTGGTTTTCTGTTTTTCTTGGCTGCTATTTAATCAGATGTGTTTCGGACATAGGTCTGAAACACACCTGATTAAATAGCAGCCAAATTTTTCACCTGAAGTTTTTGTTGGTTCATTTTCCCGTATAACTTTTTGTGAAGTTCTGTCTGTTTTTTTTTTGCTGCTCATCTAAATAATTACTTCGTAGAAGCCGTTTGAAAGCTGATTTGGAAATTTTTTGCATTCAAATGATTATCTCATAGTGTAAAATGTGTGTGAATAAAGAATGATTTATCTTTTTGCTGGCCGTGGTTGTATATGGAGTTTTTTTCAGGAAAAGTTTTAAAATTTGTTCAGGCTCTAAGTGGTTTTTTTTTCGCGAATTGATTTTTTTCTTGTTAAGTTCAGTTTGTTTCTTTGTTAACAAGAGGGAAAACTCCACTTATGAACAGCGAAAGCGTTAAGGTCGCTAAAACTTGATCAACTTTTAGTTTCGAAAGTGGAATTAATCATCAAATTTCCCAGCGAATTAGAAGTTTTTTCATTTCGATCCAGTTTTCTTAAATTGGGTTAATTTAATCAAAAAGTTTGAATCAATAATTGTTCTAGAAACTCAAACAGTCTTCAGGGCTTTTTTTCTCAGTTCGAGAGTTGATATTTTTTCAAAAAGTACGTCATTATTTTTTTTTTTTACTAATGTGATTTTTTTCGTGAAAAACGTTTATGATTTCAGTTTTAAAAAAAGGTTTCTTTTTGTTTCCTTGGGTGCATGACCACTTTTCCAACATTTTAATTGCTACATATTTTGATATAACGATAATTTTGACGCTTGTTTTTTCCAAAACTTTCTTGCAAAAGATGTGTGTAAGGCTTGAGATGCTTTCATTTCTCAGATCGGTTGATAATGTTTTGTTCTGATTCGCGCTCATTTCAAGCTGCCAACAATTTTCTATCCAAGTTTTCAGGTGATTACAAAATAGAAACAATTGGTTTCATGCATGTATGTTGACGAATAGTTTTCCTTCATTGCCAAATTCGTGGAAGCTTTGAATATAGGGTCTTTGATACTGAAGGTCTTGAATTTTGGTTTCTCAGTTCAAGTTGCACTTTTAATGAATTTCGCTTTTCTTAAATTTTAGCATGGTCACTCATGTTTGAATAGCACCTCCTCCAATTTCATGTTTCGTAATTTTGAATTATCGAAACAGTAATGATTACGCTTGCGATAAGCAAGAGCTATCAAATTGGAATATCGACTTTTTTCTAGTTAATTAGCGTAACTAAATCATTTGATAGCTTGCTTTTTAATGAAGGTAATTTTCATGGAAATATTCGGTCCAGTAGTGTGGTGGTAATGAGTGGGGCCAGTTTTTGTTTTTCATTTTTTTTCTAGGAAAGTCAGTTTTTGTTTTTTATTTTTTTTCTAGGAATAAAATTTTTTCAGTCTCAAATTGGCTTTATCATGGTTTGGCGTTTGATTTCTTTCTAAGTTCAGTTCATTTCTTTTGATAAAAAGAAGGCAAACTCCATTATCAAAAGTAAAAATCACGAAAAATGTGATCGAGTTCTAATTTTGAAAATGGAATTTAATTATCAGACTTCCCAGGGGAATGGTCCAGTTTTCTCAAATTGGGTTAGCTTTGTCAATTTGGTTCTTGTGTATTCAGTTCACAAACATTGTGTGAATATCTCGAGGCAAGTACTGCAAACTAAATATAATAAAAATAAATAAATTTGTTGTCAAGAAGACAACAATTTGTTTATTTTTTACAATATTTATCCGAAAAAATCGCAAATTGGAAGAACACCAAAAAAACTCTTGGATGAACACCATGGTCGTCAACATTAATTTCTTATTAAATCTGAGTTCACAGGAAGCATCGGGCATAATATTTTTGATTTTTGATTTATTTGTATGGCCTCAGAGGTCGAACTCCTACTGCATACGTGTTTGGTTGCACTAATTGTTTCGTTGTTATTGTTGATTCGTTATTAATTGTTGGTTTTTCTATTGTTTTATTCCCATAAAAGAACGATAAATTTGTTTTTATGTTTGTTTTAGCACTACGCCTCTAGATCTGGAAACACCCAAATGGTGCATTTGCTTTTGAAGTCTGGCGCGAATGTAAATGCAATTACGAAATCAACCCATGCCACGCCTCTCCATCGAGCCGTTTTTTCTGATCATGAAAAAGTAGTTCAACTGCTATTGAGTTTTTGTTCCTATCCTAATGTGCAGGAGGTGGTGACCAATTACAGCAACACAGGACGTAATGGCGACAAACGCACATTTTGTGATATTTTCCTTAAAGACTCGGATGGTCGGACAGCATTGGAAATAGTTAGTTCATTTTTTGTTTAGCTTCAAACAGGAAATTTTAATTGAAATCTGTTTTCTACCTTTTCTTTCAGAAAAGTGATATAATTACAATCGTCAGTAAATGGGGTCAAATTAGTCTTCGATTATCAAAAGATTGAAACTCCCATTTCATTGAGAACTTGGATGAGATCGATTTAGTTCACGTTTCACGCTAACCGATTAAATAAAAGAATTTTGAAGGTTCTGCTACCTCCACTTCTCGTTCGAAAGGTTATCTTGGCGCTAAAAAGTCCTAATAAACAGTTCGATAAGATTGACTAAAAGTTTCAGCATCCTCAAAAGGTTGTGAAGCTGATTCAGCTTCGAGCTAATTTAATTTCCATTTAGTAACTTAGTAAATGAATTTACGAATACTCAGACATTTTGACTTTTGGCTCATCTCCTTGGTAAAAAAAGGTTAACCGATTGCTGTGGAATTAGCACAGAAAGCTCCTACCATTCTGATTGAAGAAAAAAGTCCCTTTTGCAAAGAGAAATTTTAAAAATTAGAATCAAAAAAGTTTCATTTCTCATCTTGTTTTTTTTCTAGAAAAAAGGAGATAGGTGAAAAGAATGATGGATTGAGTAGTAAGTGTTGTTCGAATTGTAGTTAAACTAAATTTGAAGGGCAGCCCTTAAACACATTCCTTTCAGTCTTTCTCTAATTTCTTCTGTAAACGACAAAAAATTGTATCATTGTTTTTTCAATACAGACAATCATAGTCGCGCATGAAAAGGCTTTATAATTATCCCACGCTCGGTTCCTTGCGAGCTTTCTATGATGTATTTGAAATTGGCTGGGGTGATCGGAACAAACAAGGATATACGACCGTTAATTTTTTCGATGCGTTAGCAAAGTATCATTTTGCATCCTAGTCGAAGTAATTGTTCTATACTGTGCAGTCCACGGCGTGAACAGCTGCATTTAATATTACAATAAAAGCTTTAATTCTCTTTAAAGCGCATAGCTTTTGTACTTTAAAAAAGCTAGTGGGATCATAAATATTCGAATAAATTTTTTGTCTTCGCTGCTGAAAATTTTCCATTATTCTTGAAATCTACCCTGCCAAATTTGAAAATGAGTTCAATTGAAAGTATGAGTAGCAGGCATCTCTCCTACCTAAGTGGCTAATACCTTATTTTGTAGAGAAACAATTAAGGTTTTGGGTAAAGTCTAATTTTTTAAATTTTGTAAGTTACCGCATTTCATCTCGCATCAGTACAATGCAATCTAAATAAAAATATCAAACATGTTTTTCCAGCTTAAGCAGGGTTCATAGTTCAATAGGTGTTTTTTGAGCGAGGAGTGGAAGAACTCAAGCTACAAGAATTAGTTACAAATAACAAGGGAGGGATAATATATAGGGAGGCTCAGGGACAATCTGACAGCACAATTTTTCCATATTTGATAGCATCAATTTTATGTCCACATACCATAAAATTTTTCCAAGGTGTTTTTCTGCCAAAATAATTTAATTTCAGCGGGAGCA